ATGTTGCTCGGCAGTATGATAGTGTGGGGGAGAGTTGGGGTGAGGGGTGGTCCTCAGTTTTGGATGTGTGAAACGCTAAATGCCTTTTAAACATTCAATGGAGATGTTATCAGTCTGGAGTTCAGCGAAGAGGTTCTAGCTAAAGATAAAAATTTGTGAATCATCAGTTTATAGATGGTATTTTAAGACATGGAACTTGATGAGATCATTCGGGGAGTGTGCAGAGAGAGGAGAGCCATCCAGGCACTGATTTTTGGGGGCACCTCAGGAACTCATATTTTTGTTTGGGGATGGTTATTAGTTTATCTGCAAACTAGTATCTGCCAGGCATAGTTTAAGATATGTAAGATATGTTGATCTACTGCTCTACTGCTGTCACTGCAAATATCTTTTTTTTTTTGCTTTTTGGGTCACACCCGGCGATACTCAGGGGTTACTCCTGGCTTATGCACTCAGGAATTGCTCCTGGCGGTGCTCGGGGGACCATATGGGATGCTGGGAATCGAACCTGTGTCGACCATGTTGGCTGCGTGCAAGGCAAATGCCCTACCCGCTGTGCTATCGCTCCAGCCCCGCAAATAGCTTTCTTAAGAGTATCTAGAATACGGTTTATGTCATTGGGCCTTCAAATTTTACTTTATTGGGGCTGGAGAGATTGTAGAGTGGGTAAGACATGTGAATGACCCAGGTTCAGTCCCTGGTACCCCATATGGCTTCTGATCCCCTGAGCATTGCAGGGTATGGCATCAATACACACACATTCTCTCTCTCTCTCTCTCTCTTTCTCTCTCTCTCTCTCTCCCTCTCTCTCTCTCTCTCTCTCTCATTCTCTCTCACGCACACATGCACACACACAACTTTATTCCTAATTTTTCAATTTGGGCACAGTAATAACAATAAAGGTGTCACTGAACTATTGAATTTGTGAACTACAGTTGACTGTAAGATCTGAGAATCAGGTAGTTGTTTAGTGACAGATGCGGACAAGGAGTCTAGTATTAATATTAAGAACCTCTTAAGCTTCTATGGCATTTGATAGTCTTGTGGTGAGATTTTTAGTGCTACAGAGTTCCTATATCCCATTCATAATATCTCCATTACAGTGAGTTATATGCAAAGTAAGTGTCAGTGCAAAGGAAATCAACTGTTTCAGCCCTCAGGAAACTCAGGGAAGAGACTTCAACTTTAAGAAAGCATGATCTAGAAATCATTCTGAAGTTCAAGGAAGTGGGTTGAGATGTTATAAGGGTTTGTGCTGAAGCATGTTTAGAAAAGGTAGAACTGATTTTCATAATGAGGTTGGGAGTCTGTGTACAACAAACAGAAGGGTATTATTATTTCATTGCTTTATTATCACACTACCTAACTAGAGCAGAATCTTCTGGTTGTGATGGGAAACAAAATCAGATCATTATAGGTATTTGTTTATAGGGTTAGAAATGGCAATTCATTATAGGGTTAGAAATGGCAATTCTTTCTGGAAAGAGATTGGGGAAAATTCCTAGTGGGTAAGGTGGTTGCCTTGCGTACGGCCAACCTGGTCGGCCCAGGTTCGATTCCTCCGCCCCTCTAGGAGAGCCCGGCAAGCTACCCAGAGTATCTCGCCATGCACGGCAGAGCCTGACAAACTACCCGTGATGTATTCTATATACCAAAAACAGTAACAATAATAGGTTCATTCCCCTGGGCGTTCGCCTTACAAGCAGCCAACATGGCCGACCCGAGTTCGATTCCTCTGCCCCTCTCGGAGAGCCCGACAAGCTACCGAGAGTATTCGATATGCCAGACACAGTAACAACAAAGTCTCCAATGGAGACGTTACTGGGCCCGCTCGAGCAAATCGACGATCAACGGGAGGGCCCCTGACCCTGAAAGAGCAGTGTTGGGAAGGAGGAGTAAGGAGAGGCTGCTAAAATCTGCTCTTTGTGTTCCGGGAGCGAGCAGACGCCATTGTGCTACACTAGCATGCAACAGGGACGAATGGAGACTGGCACTGGCAATGGAGAATGGTTACTGGCACCCGCTCAGGCAAATCGATGAACAATGGGATGACAGTGTTACAGTGATACAGTGATAGTATCTGTCAAAATCTGTGCCTTTTGCATGGTCCTGCAAAATTCTTATTCCACCCACCAATGAGTGTTGAAATGATTTCCTGGAGCTCTCAGGGGTGTTCCTCAGTCTTTGATGACACTTGGAAAATCCTAAGTGGGAGTTGGGAAAGGAAAGACTTATACCTACAAGATAAGCTTTCAGAGTGTGCTGAAAAACCTTCACTCTCCAAGAAAATCACTTTACACCTTTCCCTTTCTCCTCAAACTCCTACACATCAGCCTCTCCTTTAGACAACAGGAAAAATTTTGGCATTTTATCTTTTTAGATTCTTCTTGTGGCTGCCCTTTTCACAGTTGTAGAATATAAACCTATAAGATAAACTTTCCAAGAGAGTGAATTAAGTAACATTCACTCTCTCAGAAAACCACTTTATACTTTTACCTTTTCCCTCAAATTCCCATCTACCTCCCACTTTCTTCTTCTGTCAGCTCTCTTGATTTCATTGTAAAAATAGAAATGCTCAGAATCCTTCACCCTCAACCCACAAAACCTCCCAGATCACTGCCATCTGTGCCCGTGTCAACTGCCTTGCTGGTGAGGACTACGAACATCAAGTGAACATCTCCACCTGGCATGGAGCTATTGTTTCTTCTCGGTAGTTCAGGCTTGTGGGAGCTGCCTTGGTGGCCACCCCCTCTCTTCTGCAGCATTAACCTGTCTCTAGTATTCTCATTAATGCTACAAAATAAACTAACTTCCTGCCCACCTCCCTCTCCTGCTTCCTTCTTTTTTTATTTCCTGCCACTCCTGGTGGTACTTATAGCTCCTGGCTCTGTGCTTAAGGGTCATTCCTGTTTGGACCCAGAGGAACATATATAGTGCCAGAGGATCAAACTTGGGTTGTACATATGCTAGGCATATGCTGTTCTATCTCCCTGTCCCTGTATATTTCCCAGTTAAAAAAAATCCCTTATTTTATATATAAGTACAGCAGTTAAGACACAGGCATAGTATCTACCCACATGGGTTGAATTCCCAGCACCACCTGGTTCCCTATGCACTGCTGGATGCAACCCTAGAGTTCTCTGAGCACTGCCCGATGTGGCCTGAGCTCTGCCAATGTAGTCTAGGTAATCCCCAGGACTCCAGGGGCCAAGAAGCATTGAATCCTTTATGAGCACTATTTGGGAGCCCCCTTCACCTGATTCCCTAATTTATACCATCTCATAGCTCCTATTTCTGACTCTTCTTGGTAGCAATCATTTCCAAAGTAATGAAGTCCCTGTCTCCATTCCATCTCCCTGGATACTGAGTCCCCTGAGATCTACTATAATAACTTTTGTCAGGATCTTTCAGTTAGCATCTCCATCTCACCAGATTCATTAGTCCTTCACTTCATAAACTGTGGTATGTGACCCCATGTCCACATACCTGAATATAAATGGTCTTGTAAGGTTTGGTAGTAGTAAAGAGGCTTTTAAATATGTAAAAACCAAAAATTAATTCAAAGCCCAAAAATTACATCAGATGTTTCTGAGCGTGCTTGTGTAGTTTGCATTTCTTAGGTTTAAAAAGGGTGGTACGTGCAAAAAGTTTAAGAAACCCTGCTTAGTTCATTCTTAATGCTCACACTGGGGGAGGTTCCACCACCTGAGACTCAGTTGATGCACTTTCCGTGCTGCATCCTTCCTTTATCTGACTGGAAGTGAGGTCCAGTTTCCCTTTACTTCACAGACAACTCTTTTTGTGTGTCCTCTGTTGAAATCTCTCATTCCTGGAAGAGGTACAAAGTCCAGGGTTTAAATCTTTCCTTTCTTCCTGGTCCCACACTCACATTCGAGACTGTGTCATGTTGTTCAATGATCTTTCAAATGCGGTTGACGTGATGCTCTCTCTTGCCCTCACATCTTCCTACTGTCACCTTTCCTCTTGGACTTTCAGGTGGATCGTCCTTCCTTCAACATTCAAAACTTCTGACTGTGCTTTCCTGGCCCTTTTGATCTGGCCCGCCCTTTATGTGTGCAGCTTCATTTGCTAATTTCTCTGTTCCTTCAGCTTCTACTGTATTCACCTCACTGCTGCTCTCCCTGACAAGCTCCTTCCTGTCTTCAAGGCATTGTTCATACTCTTCATTTTGCTTACAATGTTCTTTGCCCAGGTCTTTGCATGTGTGTGTTCCCCCCTCATACAGTGTTAATGTATTTCTTCAGAGGCCTTTTTTGATTCTCTTGTATAAAATACTGTCTTATCTATTTTTTCTTTTTCTTTTTTTTTAGCACTCACCACTCGTCTAAACCATGTTTTAATTCCTCACTCCTCACTCCTGGAATGTACCCTAAGGTGGACATGTAATTGATCTTCTTACCCCGTAACCCTAGGCTGGAGTGATAGCACAGCGGGTAGGGCATTTGTCTTGCATGCAGCCGACCCAGGTTCAATTCTTCCGTCCCTCTCAGAGAGCCTGGCAAGCTACCGAGAGTATCTCGCACCCACATGGCAGAGCCTGGCAAGCTCCCCGTGGCGTATTCAATATGCCAAGAACAGTAGCAACAAGTCTCACAATGGAGACGTTACTGGTACCCTTTCAAGCAAAAAACGGGAGGACAGTGCTACAGTGCTAACCCTGTAACCCTAGGATTTAGATCAGTTACTGGCTCCTAGAAGACTCAGCTCATGTTTACTGAAGATATTAAATGAATGAATGAATGAATGAATGGGGTTGTATTTGACAGTGTTTTGTAGGTAAACTATGTGATCATACAACCAATATTTTTAATCCAAAAGACAAATGCTTGTTAAATAGCATGGTTACACATAATAGAAAAATGCCTTTAAGCCCAGTTGTATGTTGAATCACTAAGGAATCCTCCCAAATGATATTGTACCATGTCTATTTATTTCCATCTCTGCTCACAAGCTGTGCTTTCTTGACTCTTTCCATTCAGCTGAAGAATAAGTTCATGAAAAAACTGCCGCGAGATGCAGAAGCTTCCAATGTGCTTGTTGGGGAGGTTGATTTCCTGGACACGCCTTTCATTGCCTTTGTTCGGCTACAACAGGCTGTTATGTTGGGGGCCCTGACTGAGGTCCCTGTGCCCACAAGGTAAGCTGTCCCTCATATACACTGTGATCAGAGTGAAATCTTTCTCTTGACCAGGGAATTCACAAAATGAGAATTTCTTCAGAGAGAGTCTGTTGGAGAAAGTAACCTGAAATAATGGCTTAGTTCATATTATCAAATAACTTGGCACTTGCATTGCAGTAGCTGTAATAATAATAATAACATTATTATTATTATTATTATTATTATTATACTGCATTTCTCCTTTGGGGTTAGTGTATTTGACCCTGGCAAATTTATGATTTTTCTTTTGTTTTTGTTTTTGTATAGCTAAAATTTACCTTTTTTTGGCTATACCCAGCTGTGTGTGCGCAGAGCACACTCTTAGCTATGTACATAGGGGTCACTTCTGGTAGTGCTTGGGGGAGCATATTGGATGCTGGGGATTGAGCCTTGTCAGCCACATGTAAGGCAAGTACCTGCTGTACTTACTTTCCCTCCAGTCCCCATTCCTACTATATTTTTAAAGTATTGACAGTAGATAAACATTTCAGCGGTTAGAGTTTATTCTGTCAGAAAATTGGCTACTGGTCTACATATATTTATGTATATATATGCAAAATAAAATCATTAGACAGTATGCTTAAATTTGCACATTAATTTTTTTCTATTGCCACATAAATGTTTATTAAGCATTATAATAATGTGCTTATTACAATAGTGTTTTAGATATTCTGTTTATCTCTATGAATGTTTAATAAAGTTAAAAATGACTTGTGGGGTGAAATTAGGTGAAAAGAAGTTAAGCTTTACTTAAATTTGTGCTGAGGAGTAGTTTAAAGAGAAGCTTGTAGTAACTAGACTGACATCAGGAAGTTATGGCATAATTGAATTTTTTCTTTTTGGTGTCATTTCTGTAATTTTTCTGTAGATTATTCCATGTAAGATAAAAGGGCTATGAATTTTCTTTGGTGACCACAGATAGTCTGAGTGTGATTAACTGACAGTGACAAGGGGCTTAAGGTATGTGCTAAGACAATCCCAGAGAAAATTAGGAAAACATTTTCTTAACAGCTGCTCAATTCATAGCTCTTATTCTTTCTAATCATAAAACTATATTTCTCCTAGTTTTATGCTTCTTAGATACTTAGAAATTAAACTTAGACAGTACTTGGAAAAATAGCAGAGAAAAAGAGGAGATAATAATAATTATTCATTTAATGCCATTATCAAAATCTGTACTTTTTTTTAACCTAGCTTTTTGCTTGAAAACATTTCAGAGGGGACTTGCAGTTCCGAGCAGTCACCTGGCAGATAACTAGTTGATTCAGAACATGATTGAAGTCCAGCTCAAATGCCCCAATGGTTTTTCATCTCTTAGGGGCTCAAAAAAAAAAAAAAGCCAAGGATATTAAATCACTCTTGCTTTTTTGTCTCTTTTGTTATTTTTTTTAGAAGCTACAAATAAAGTCATCTAAAATAAAGTCATCTTAAAGACCATTTTATTTAACAAAAAATTGTGTTCATTGAGCAGCAAATTGCAACCACTTTGTTGTCCCTTACTCTGACTCCTTTGCTTTTGTACTAGAGAGTGGTGCTAGTGTAGAGGGGAAATACTGCGCCATTTGAATTAACAAAGGACTCCAACATTTAAGGGAATGTAATTCGGTAGTGTCATAAAACTATTTCAGGGCAATAACCTAAACAATATATTCTTGCATGTTAACATTGTTCAAGAAAATAGTTTTATCCCTTTGCTTTCTTCTGAGCAATGTAAGCTGTAATCATTGAGTAGGGAGTCTCATTAGCTTTTTTGTGTACGAGTAATGTGGGGCCATTCCAATGACTGCATCCTGTGAAATCCAATAAAGGAAATTCCACAAGGAGTGTGTTAGTCATTAGGAAGGACTGCTTTATACTCAACCTTATGCTTTAACAGGAGATGCAGGCAGCTTTATTGTGTTCTGGAAAGACCCAGAATCTGTGCGTGCACATCTTTTTTTAATTATTCTTTTGGAAATTGAGGAAACTTGTACTGCTATACTATTATTAGTACTATACATAGTAGTACTACCATGCACCTTTAGAATTGCCTTCACTGTAACTCAAGTAGCTTCTGTTGTGTCAGTTCATAAGTTTATCAATTTACTCTATTATTTTGATGATCTGTTTGTATCTAGATGGAAATTATCTGTGCATGGACTGTTCTTTCCATTTATGTGAAAACAAACCCTATTCTTTAATCTTTGGCAATTTCCTAGGGCATATTTATGTTGTACAGTTTTTGTGACATCTTATAGCACTTGTTGATCCCTTTATCTGTCCAAAGGTCATTACTCAAAGATATTTATGAGCTACAAAAGGGATAAATACTAATAATTTCATTTTGCAGTTGACAGATCAAGAGAAAGAAAATATTTTTTTGATCAACATTAGAAATTGAACTGCAGATTCTGACTTCGAGGCCACTTTTAGGGAGAGTCAAAGAAGAAATTTAGGATTGAGTGGAATAAAATAAATATGATACATGAATATATACAATGGAATTCTACTTGGCTTTAAGAAACATGAAATCATCCAACTTGATGTTATATGGATGGATATGGAGAGTATCATGTTGAGTGACATTAGTCAAAAAGAGAGGTACAGAAACAGAATACTCTCTCTCATAAATGGGATAAAAGGAAACAAAGTAGGCTTAGAATCAATACCCAAAGGCAACAGAAACGGGGAACTGGTCTTTGGTACCCAGCTTGCCGTAGATGATGGAAAGGAGGGATTAAGAAGGGGCTAGGCAGGACACTGAGACAATGGTGGAAGGAACTGAACACGGGGAGCATGCGGTATAGAAATATGTTATTTATGAAACCTATCTTGAACGGTATTGTACATCTGTCACTGTCACTGTCCTCCCATTGTTCATCAATTTGCTCGAGCAGGCCCAGTAATGTCTCCATTGGAGACTTTGTTGTTACTGTGTTTGGCATACCGAATACATCATGGGTAGCTTGCCAGGCTCTGCCATGCGGGTGAGATACTCTCGGTAGCATGCCGGGCTTTCCGAGAGGGGCGGAGGAATCGAACTCGGGTTGGCCATGTTGGCTGCGTGCAAGGCAAATGCCCTACTGCTGTGCATGGTGTGTAAAATCATTTTTAAAGGACAAAACCCAAATATACATATATATATATATATACATTGTATGTATATCCATAAAGAATAATTTAAGCCTCTGAGCAGTGTCTTTCTCCAGCCTTGGTATGTACATCAAAAGAATTGTTATTTAGTGAACTCCATCTCTAAAATGTGAAAATGTTTACCCTTATGGTATCACTGTAAGTTAACATACATTTTATATTATAAATAATGTTTTTCCCAAATGAAGTAGTTTGTACTTAGTTGTCAGAACAATTGAAATTCTATTAAAGGGATTGGGTTGGAGATCCTGTTCATTCAATTCTTTCTTTCCCAACAATCCCATCGTTAGCTGTTTGCATCTGTTTACTGTATATAATGGTTGATTATGGTGGGTTTGTGGTCCTCATAAATCAATTGTGGAAGCGACAGTTCAGCCACATTTTCCAAGTCGGCTAAACATGAATAATAGGTTATTTGATTTAGTGTTGTTTTGAGAGAAGAGAATTAAGGATTGGTACAAGCTGAGTTTATTTTAGAAATAGCTGGGATATATCAGGAAGGACGGAGGGGGGTATACATCCTTTCTAAAAAGATTGAATGGTTTAGGAAGACTGACTCTTTTTTTCTGATATTGTGCTCAGATTCTGCTGGTAATTATTTGTGAATGTGAGTACAGTCCATTGGTTCCGGATAAAGATCATCTGGCACTTATTTCTGTTGTGGAGAATGCTAGAGGCATCCTCCCCGGGCATAATTAGTTATAGGAAAAAACTCACAAGGGTAGCAGGGCCTCATGAAGATTCTCAAGACAATTAGGCACTATTAAAAAGTCTAACTTTGACTTATTTCTAGCTCTGAGTCGATAGAAAGATCACGGTCACAATTAGTTTTTTTCCCCCGAGCTGTCAACATGGTTTGTGCCCTTTTAGCCACACAAATGCAATGTTTAGTCTAATTTGTTAATAAAGAAAAAGTCCTCTGGTTAAGAATAACATCTGTCTATTGACCAAAAATAAAAACCAAACAATAACAAAAAAAAAAACTCTGCTTGGGTCACGAAAAGAATTTTCAGTACATTAGAAAAGCCAAGTTTTGCAAGATGCATCTTATCATAAAAGTTGCAACAGCTTCTACTTCTTTGAAGGTTCAGGGGCAAGCACGCATTTCAGGCAGAGAAAACTTCAACCTGATGAGTTGTTGTTTGGTGCTGTTGGTTTTCTTAGAACTCTTCTTCGTTTCAGTAGTGAAATTCGAATTAGTGGCTTCTTGAGAGCCTCAGTTCCTAAGATCAAATTGACCTGAGATGAAGTTTCCTGAGCACCGGAATATCTGTTTCTTTCATTTTTAAGGAGATGGATTTATGAAATGTCTCCTGACTACAATAATGTAAAAAATTTAAAATCACATGTAACTGTTATTTTTATTTGGTGATTTATGGGTATTCTGATAATAAATATAAATATATAGATGTTTTAAAATAAAAATTACATGACCTGAGAAAGAGGAATTTATTCCATTTTATGTGCTTTATTGTAACATGCAGACATATACATATATAAATATATATACATCTTTTTTCCCCCCACAAGAGCCTCCATCAGCAAAAAGATGTTTTGCTAACACCTTATATGATGGCTAGCAATTTTTGGCAATACAGTACTTTTAGTCACAATATGTGCCTTATTTCTTAAAATAAAAATCCTTTGTGTGCTTAATAGACTACAGCACAATGAACAGTAACTTTCATATGTAAGTTTTATATTGGTTACTGAGAAACAAAAAAAGATGGAGTTCTTTATTGCAACATTTGCTTGAGTGCATGCTCTGGAACTGAACCTGTAATATCTCTGACAGATTCCTTTGCCATTTTGTCTAATTTAACAAACTAGACCAAACCTTTTTGTCTAGTTTACGAAAATAATATAATTCTCATATTCTGGTTTAATTATCATGGTATCTATGATAATTATGATTGATCTGCTACTTTCATCAAGTTTTTGATATATAGGAGAGACTCGCTTATATAAATATAGAAACATGCCATTTATCTCAAAGGGTTTAACATAGAGGCTCCATTATTCTACTCTGCAGTGGTTACCCATTGTATGCCAGAGTTCATATTTGACAGCTATTGATGACTGAGAGAGTTTTCCATACTCTGTAAATGATAGTATTTTGGTGTTGTCATCATATAGTCAAACTGATAGTTAACTTATTTGTCAGTTGATAAATGTGCTTTTCATATTGTGTACAGATTATAAACTATAATCATGATGTCAAGTGCAGAAGAGGTAAAAAGAGATACAGGGTAGCTCTGGAAAGGTTTTAGATTATATATATATGTATATATATTACTATATTTTTATATATTGTTATGTAACTATATATTATATATTACTATTAAGGCATTATTTAGATATACTAAATAATAAAAATGTCAGGAAGAGACAACTCATTATTTAAAATATTTGAAAGATTCAGGTGTTAGGGATTTTTCTCTTGTTGGACTGCATCTGCCCACTTTTGCCGAGAGCTGTGCTCTTATTGTCCCATTTGGCAGCTGGCCCTTGATCAGTCAGTAAATATGACTAGGAAATGTGATCAATATTATAGGTGTCTCTTCCCTTTTTTTGGTGGTGGTGGGGAAGGACTCTCATACTGTGCCCACCCTGGTGATTCCAGTCAATGAGATGGCATGTGGGGTGCTGTTTCTAAGGCCCCATGTTGCCAGGGATACTCAGGATGCACAAACAGCAGTTGTGGGCCCTTCAGTGCCATACCTCATAGCATTGCTGTCCTCTACTGCTTAGCTCAGTGATTCTCGGGGACCATGTGGTTCCAGTGATGCAAATGGGTTTGGCTACATTCAGGCATGTTTCTTAATTTCTGTACTGTCTCTCCCGCCCCTGTAGGGATTTCTTAAGGGGATTTGTATTTTGCTTTACGGACTAAATAGTTCTTGTGTGTGTTACCCTAAAATCGATCAGTTCTCTTAGCAAAATGCATTCACTTTCATAAAGAAACTTTATACTTCTGTGTGTGTAATATATAACTTAGGCTCTGCTTTAAAGGAAGTTCAAGTACTGAATGAAGTTGTGTGTTCGAAGAACTAAAATGCAATCTAATAATGACTCCCTAATTCTTGACCAGCCTTTCCTGTCTGCTGCTGGCTTATGCTATTTCTTCCACTGTGATAACACTTGCTGCCTCACTCCAGAACTGGTTTCTGAGCAGATAATTACTGAAGAGTTTTAAGGCTATTCTGGTGTAAAACTGAATATTGAGGTATTCATAGCACAGCGGGTAGGGCATTCGCCTTACAAGCGGCCAACATGGCCAACCCGAGTTCGATTCCTCCGCCCCTCTTGGAGAGCCCGGCAAGCTACCGAGAGTATCTCGCCCTCACAGCAGAGCCTGGCAAGCTACCCGTGACGTATTCGATATGCCAGACACAGTAACAACAAAGTCTCCAATGGAGACGTTACTGGGCCCGCTCGAGCAAATCGACGATCAACGGGAGGGCCTTTACCTTTACCTTTACCATATTTTTTACATTATTCTTGTTTTTTTTTCTACATTGCTTCAAAAAAAAAAAAAAAGGAAATATCTATTCTAAGGATTTCCAAATTGACCCTAGCACTTTGGAAAGTATTTGCAGGCAGGCTGTCTTTATCTGTGTGAGGTATATAAAGAGAAACAAAAATTAAAATTTTACTAAGCAAATTTCTATAAAATTCCCAGTCCTTTAAGACCTAAGATTCCTTGTCCTTAGCTAATCTGAAAAATCTATAAGTATCTGCAAAGTCTTTCCTTGGGAGGGCCTATGGAATTTCTTTCTTTCTTTCTTTCTTTCTTTCTTTCTTTCTTTCTTTCTTTCTTTCTAATTTTTATTGGTGAAACACCATGAGGGTTGGTTAAAGAAACTTTGGTACATCTACACAATGGAGTACTATGTAGCTGTTAGAAAAGATGAAGTCATGAAGTTTACATACAAGTGATACTACATGGAAAGTATCATGCTAAGCGAAATGAGTCAGAAAGGGACAAAAAGAAAGTCAGAAAGAAAGGGACAGACATAGAAAGATTGCATTCATCTGGGGAGCATAAAGTAACAAAATAGGAGGCTAGCACCCAAGAATAGCTGAGATAGGTACCAGGAGGTTTACACCTATGGAATTTCTTATAGAGAGGTTTTTCTCAGTAGAATCACTACCTTGGTGTAAAGGATTGATAGATCGTATCAGGAAGACTTAAGGCTCTGAAAACAACAGGAAGCAGGAGGAAGCAAGGAGACTTGTCTGCTACTCCCCCTGGCACAGTCTTTGGGCTTGTTTATTAACCTCCTTGGCCCTTATTTTCTTCACCATTAAACAGCAGTAGATTACCTGTTCTTTTTGCAAAGGGTTTGATGGAGTCTGAATGAGGTGATGAGTGTGAAATGTTCTGCGTGTTTTAAAAAAGATCGGATGTTATCACAGTTTCTTCTCCATTTTCCATGTTAAGTGTGAAAAGATTAGCAAACCAGAGATCTGTCCAGTGCTACCTTTTGAATAAATATACCTGCAGATGTGAATATAAGAATATATGCATATATATTATACATACTTATTAACTTTCCTTCTCCCCAGTAAACCTTTGTAGTCACTTTGGAATTCCCTATAAAATCATAAGATGACCTAAATTGGGAATTACAGTTTTCAGGAGCAATTTTTATTCACTACCAAGAAAAGAGTAGAAGCTGGAAAAATAGACAGGAGTTAAGGTTCTTACTCTGCAATCAGACAATCTTGGTTCTATCCTTAGAACTTCATGGTTCCCTGAGCACCACCAGGAAAAACCCCTAATATGGAGCTGGGAATATTCCCTGACTATGCTGGGTGTGGGTCAAAAACCAAAAGAAAATAATGTGTGGAAGGAAAATGAGGACACCCATAGCAATTTTAACTGTCTGTAAATGATGATTTAGTTTAAATTTCTTTCATATTTTCTTCTTTCACTTTGGCTACAAAGTCTTATAAGGACTTGATTTTTGCTGACTCCTGGTCACTTCTAAGTAGAAATGTTTCTGAAAAGTAAGGACAGAATCCTTTGTTATTGCATATATTGGACAAGGAAAAATTTGAGAAATATGAAGATCTGTTAAGTCTTCTTAGTTAATTGTGATTAATAGACTTTCTTCAAATATTTTGAAAGTCAATGAGAAAAGAAAGTGTTTAGAAATCTAATGCTTTATAAAGTAAACCTTTCATTCCTGATAGAGAAATTTTTCAATTTTCTATGCTAATTCTCCTTCATCTCCAAATAAACCAAAAGATAATTGTTGTTTCAGAATAGTTTGAAGAAATAGCTTTTATATTATTAAGAATATTATGTTTTAAAGATAACTGCTAGACCCACCCTTTTATGAAGTAGGATGTGTTCTAAGTTTATGTACATTGAGATCAGTGACATTTTTGTTATAGTTTGTACTTCTTTCCTCTTCCTCTAGGTTCTTATTCATTCTTCTAGGTCCTAAAGGAAAGGCCAAGTCCTACTATGAGATTGGCAGAGCTATTGCCACCTTGATGTCTGATGAGGTAAGAAATTGAGAAGATGGTGATCTATGAATATCTGACTTATATTGCTTTCATGCCATAAATTGCCTGCCATAATTTAGCCAATTAGAATTCTGTGATTATGAAGGATCTTCATGACTTGAGGCCTGAGGATTCATAGCAGTTTTCAAAAATGTAAATTTGCTTAGTAGAAAAAAACACTTAGATTCCTTTGTGTCTCTAAACATTTTTAATTGTCAAAACTTAGGTTTATTAAATATTATATTAGAAGTTAAAGTTGGGAGCTGGAGTGATAGTATAGTGGGGAGGGTGTTGGTGTTGCATGCGGTTGGTCTGGGTTTGATCCCCGGCATCCCATATGGTCCCCCAAGCATCACCAGGAGTAATTGCTGAGTTCAGAGCCAGGAGTAACCTCTGAGTATCGCTGGGTGTGACCCAAAAAATCAATCAATCAATCAATCAAGTCATGGAGGAACTAGAACTTTGTCTTTTAAAATGTCTTTAAAATTCAAATGTGTGGGAATTGAAGCGTCCCTATAACACATTGTTTCAGAATTAAAAAATTCATTGAAATAATGCTTAAGGGGACCAGACTGGGTTCAATCCTTGGCATCCCATATGATCTCCTAAGCTCCGCCAAATTGCAGAGATATGAGTAAATCCTGAGCACCACCAGGTGTAGCCCCCAAATAACGAAACATAATAAAAATATGGCTTAACAAAATGGATACTGCATTTTTTAAGGTATCAAAATTATCTATTTTATGTTGTTCTTGTTTTTTGTCCTGTGGGAAGAAATTGAGTACACATACACACATGCTCAGGTGTGCATTTGTGTGTGCCTTGGAGCTGAGAAGATACCTTAGAAGGGTTGAACAGATGCCTTGAATGTATGAAACCCCAGCTTGACCCCTGATACTGGCACCCCCATGGTGCTCTGAGCAGGCCAGGTATGGAGCTGCTGGCCACTAGCAGTACTAGCCCCAACTAGCTCCTCATTGGGGTGAATCACTGAAGGCTTGACTATCACCATCCATGAAGCAGCAGTCAGTAATGGGAGCCCCTCAAAAGCCTTCCAACCATTATAGAGTATCTTAACTTTATAATTATGTCCATACTCTTATACTAGCTTCAAAATTGCTAACACACTTTTTAGATAAGATATAATGCCAAGTCAGTCTCTGCATAGAAAAGCTATCATTAGAATATAACCCACCAATTGATTTTGTCATTCTAGCTCACTATTTTTCCTAATGTTTCACTGTCATTCTCTCTATGTTAAGTGAAGAACTGGAGAACAGTTTCTTTAGTTATGAAAGTTCTAGCTACTGATTCCTCATGTTGGGACTGGGAACATTAATAGCTATGAGAGTTTCCTTGTAGAAATAAAGCATCTCAGTGGGATTTAAATTTTTTAAAATAGATTTATATTCCTTTGTTTTCTTTCATTTTTGTGCCAAACCAAGCTGTTCTCAGGGATTACTCCTGGCAGAGCTTGGGGGACCATATTGTGGGGGGTAAGGGGGGTTGGGTATCAAACTTGAGTTATAAAAGGGAGATTGGGCAGTTACTCCAACTTTCCAGTCTATATAGTGAATGGTAACTGGAGAAAACAGGAATAAGGACGGCTACATCTCCCTCATGTGCTATGCTGTTTCCTTGTATGGCTTTTTCCTATCTCCCAACCTCTAGACTCTCACATATTATTTGGAAAAGTTTTTACAATTCTTGTCAAGAAGACAATTTTGTAGCAATATTTGTGTATAAACAGCAGTCATTTTTCTCACCTGTAAACTAAACAGACTTACAAGGTATGAAAGGCTAGAAAGAACTTTCTGATCATCAGCTTGGTTAGAGGGATAGAAATAATTGACAAAGGTATTTGTGTTCCAGAAGTGTCCTTTAGATGTCTGTACCAAAGATAGAGAAGAACTTGAATGATTAAATTATTGCTTAAAGATAGACAGATGGTTACCTACTTAAAGTATTTTTGTTTATAGATTGCCGATAGATTTTGCTCTGTTTTGAGGAGCTAACATTATTTGTAATCTGCGTCAAACTTCAGCTTGAACTTTTCATTCTTTAATTATCAACAATGAGTTGTCCTAGAACTCTTTTCTTCAAAGAATGGTTCTTCAGAATATTTCTCTAACCCATTTTTAGTTAGCTTCTATAGTAGTGCTCTAAATAGTGGCACAGACCAAGGGGAGAGGAAAAACAATGCTCATTCACAATATTTATTTTAAAAAATGTACAAATTTAACTTTTTTCTTTGTCTCTGTATTCTTTGCATTGATAATAGGAATACACACATACTGTAGTATAAGCTTATTACTAAGAATGATTTCATTACTTAATATAAGATGTTAAAGTGAATTGTGGATTAGATTCTTGAGACTTGGCATGATGTGGGTCATGTAGTGAGTCTCTTGGTGGATTAAAAAAACCCTTTCTTTTCTTTAGGTGTTCCATGACATTGCTTATAAGGCAAAAGATAGGCAGGACCTGATTGCTGGCATTGATGAGTTCTTAGATGAAGTCATTGTGCTTCCCCCCGGGGAATGGGACCCAACAATCAGGATAGAGCCCCCAAAGAGTCTTCCATCATCTGACAAAAGGTAAATTATTGGACAATTGCACTGTAGCACTGTAGTACTGTCCTTCTATGGTTCATTGATTTGCTCAAGCGGGCCCATTAACTTTGTGAGACTTGTTTTTACTGTGTTTGTCATATCGAATATGTCAAGGGTAATTTGCCGGGCTTTGCCGTGTGGGGCGAGAAACTCTCAGTAGCTGGCTGGCCTCTCCAAGGGGTGGAGGAATCGAACCTGGGTTGGCCACATGTAAGTCAAACGCCCTACCCGCTGTGCTATCGCTCCAGCCCATCAGACAGTTAAGAGCTCCTTATTGCTGGGACAGTCTGGAGAAGGTGGTTGCATTTGAAAAGAAAACGCAATCAGGCTACTGCCCTGCTATTTTCAGGTCCCCATTTAACTTGATCTATAATTTCAATTAAATCCTATTTATACCTTAGTTTGAAATTTTATTGATAGTGTAAATAATTTCTTTATATTGTGATTTTGTTCATTGATTATAAATTAGAGATATAGATTATGTTACAGGGATATATCAGATTCTTCAGAACTGTTTTGTGAGAAGATCAGTTAATTCCACAAGAGCTCCAGTAGATTTAAAATATTACAACATTAGGTTAGATAGTTGAGGAGAAGCCATTTTCTGGAAATCTGATACCTTCCCTCTTATACAATATACAATTCATCCACTTTTCTATCCCTATTATTTTTTAAACATGTGTGTGTGTGTATGTTTGTGTGTGTGTCTCACACCCAGTTGTGCTAAGGATTTCTCCCGGCAGTGCTTGGGAGACCACATATGGTGCTGGAGATTAAACTAGAGTTGGCCACATGTAAGAAAAGTGCCTATACCCCTGTACCATCTCTCGGCTCTATTTATTCATTCATTCTTGGCTTTACAAGTACCACTTTGAATTATCTGTTAAAATGGCAGAAAAAAATACTGAACTTTCTCACCAAAGGTTATCACTCTATTTCTCCACTAGCTAGTATATACGACAGCTCAGAAGAGATGAACAAAATGAACTAAATGTTGTCTTGATATCTATTGTCTTGTTTAGGAAGAATATGTACTCAGGTGGAGAGAATGTTCAGATGAATGGTGACACCCCCCATGACGGAGGCCATGGAGGAGGAGGTCATGGAGATTGTGAAGAATTGCAGAGGACTGGACGGTAATTGATGGATCCATTTGACAGATCCATCCATTTACTCTTTACAGTGTGCTTCAACATTGAATGTAATCTATCTTATACATTGGTACTTTATTCACTTGTTGGCATATTTGCTTACCAATAGTTGTAATGTACCAGTTGTTTGCAAATAGTGGGGATGCAGAAGTGAAATAAGCAAAAAAGCTCGGTGGGTGTGACTTTTTCATGAAGGGAGACAAATAATGAACAAATAAAGAAATGCAGTGGTTTGTTAAAATAAAAGTAAATAGAAATTGGAATTTTTTTTTCTTTTTGGGTCACACCCAGCGATGCTCAGGGGTTACTTCTGGCTCTGCACTCAGGAATTATTCCTAGCAGTGCTTGGGGGGAGCATTTGGGATGCCAGGGATTGAATCCAGGTCAGCCAAGTGTGAGGCAAATGCCCTACCCACTATACTATCGCTCCATCCCAGAAATTGGCATTTTTGTGATGGTAAAAAATATGATAATTTGGACATGGTGTTGAGTTATGGTTTTACTAAGACATTTGTAACATTCAGAGAAAGTCTGAAGGCAGATTTCAGAGATACGGGATTGAAAGCAAATAAGAGGCCCGGTATGTGTTGGGTTTGTATCAAGGCCAGTGTAATTAATTGCAGGGGAATGAGTGGTGGGATGATCAAGAGAATGAGATTGTAAGTGAGTGTGAATGACAGGAAGATGCAGTGATCATCTTGTCTTCATCATGTGACTTTCCTGATTCCATACCACCCCTGTTCATACACTTAAAAGTAGGCAACGTATTGCAGAATCACTGACAGAGTTCACTGTCATCATCCTCTTGGTCTGCAGTTGGGAAGCATGTTTCCAGGATTGCTCAATTTAATCTCTTTCACAATAATTCTTCTTTCTCATATGTTCGGGTCTCCAGTTTCATTGTAAAAAGTAAAATTTTAGCGGGATACTCCTAATAATGCAGTTTTTTAAGAACACTGCAGGGATTTTGAAAACAGAAAGATATGTCATTTTAACATGCAGTCGAATATGAATGAAATGAAGTTATTTTCTCCCCCTGATGACCCACTTGGGTTTCTCTCTCAAATTAAGGGAACATTATTTTCCTCTAATTCCTTTTTACAAATAGAATTTTTTTCACACTTTTATCCTCAGTAATTCTTTAAGAGCACTTCCATTAGGAATATACTTTGCATTTTCTACAGATCTGAATTCTAGGGATTAACTTTATTTTATTTAATAAGACTTTAATGTAATTCTTCCATATTTTATATTTTCCATACTTTATCTCTTCAACATTTCTGAGGAGGTCTGATGCATGTCCCAAAACATGTGTAGTCTTGTTTAAACTAAGTTGCTGATGTCTGCAGCTAAGGTCCTACAAGCACCCGGAAAGTTATACTTATAATTCTGATAAAAAGTGATAGCTGTTCGAAGTCTGAATTCTTACTGAACGGTCAGTATTTTAGAAGGCTCTTGAGCGAGGAGAAACAAAAGAAGCTGTTGGTGTGAAGCAGTCTGGGATGTGAGGTTTGGGTGATGGATGCGTAAATCAGCTGATCTGTTAAAATTTCTAATGGTATTCACAAATATGCTTTTGTACCACATTCCAGCTTGGCTCCCATCCTCATTTCCCTCAAGTTCTTACCTGGCATCGTCAGCTCAGGAGGCCTGTTTTGACTATTCATGTTGTATACTTCAACCATTACTCCTCTTGATTATCTTAATCCTTCTCTCCACTTAATTTTTGCCTTGATTTTTAGCATCAGGCATCTTAGGTATTTTTGTCTTTCCCCCACCTAAAGTTAACTTTAAGAGGTCAAGTTTTCCCCCCACTATTCCACTATTCACTATTATATCTACAATACACAGAATAATGCAAGAAAATACCACAGGACCCAAAAATGCTTTTGTGTAATGTATGAAGGAATGAATGAGTGAATGAATGAGATTAAGAAGATAGCAGTGATAGGATGATTAAAGAGTCTTTTTTATCTGGTGACATATTTGGATGCTTTTCTTTAGATAGTGATAATTTTTAATTTGTCTATACAACTCAGGCTCCTTAAAAGATCAACTCGATGGGTTTTAGAGAATTTAATATATAACTTAGTAATCAAAAAGATAGTGAGAAAATTTAATCCTTGTGCTTTTATCTTAAGAAACAAAATATTAACTTTCCACCAATACAGGCATTTTAAATACAGATTATTTGTGGCTTATCTTGATGGTGATTTATTTTGTATTGTATGTTTGCTTTCTCCCTACCTAGGTTCTGTGGCGGGCTCATTAAGGATATCAAGAGGAAAGCACCATTTTTTGCCAGTGACTTTTATGATGCTTTAAATATTCAGGCACTTTCAGCAATTCTTTTCATCTATCTGGCAACCGTAACTAATGCTATCACTTTTGGAGGACTGCTCGGGGATGCCACCGACAACATGCAGGTGGGTCTGGTTTTAGGGAAGACACAAATAGTACAGCCCAGATTGCCTTCCTCACCCCTACGGCTCAGCGAGAAGCAGATGGCCTTTCAGTTACTCAGCGTGATTTTCTTTCTTTTGCTGGATGCTGCATTTTACTTTGCTTCTGGCCTGCTGCTGTATTTCCAGATTTTAGTAATTATAAAAATAGCTCGATGAAATCTGGCTTGAGTCACAAGTGGGGAAAATAAGGGAAGGAAATGAGGATACACAATTCTATTTGGGCAAAAGCCTATCAGCTGCTTGAATTATCTGCATGGTCTGGGCTGAGATCTTCTACTCTCTTGAATGTACAGATCATGTACTGTTATACTTAAGGACCACCCTCCTTTGGGGCAGAGATGAATAATTGCATTTTATACGTGAATATATATTAAGACGTTGAGTGATTTGGTTAAGATTGCATCAGTACTCGTATCTGACTTGGCTTCTGTGATCACAAACCAAGAGTTGTGTCTTTTATATCAAAATCATTAAGCTGTGAAGTCTCTGGCTTTGGTTATTTTATAAGTTGTCAGTTATTTTGATGGAGGCATTTGCTTTTTTTGTGTGGATATTATAGTTTCAGTTATTAAAATATCATAGATTCCCTGTGTGCAAACCTACTTTTAGTTAGTTGATTGAATCACTCAGAAAAAAATATATGCATTTAACCAGATGCCTAGTAGTCAATGAAGCTGATATTCTTAGGAAAAGAACCATATGCAAGTCCCTTTCAAAATGTTCTACTTTACTACCTCTTTACTGGTTGACTTATCTGACTTTGATAAGTACATCAGCAGCTCATTTTTTAAAAATATGCAGATGATTTGAAAGGAATTCCTTTCTACTTTCTTTTCTTCCTTGTGCACATTCCTGTTTTATATTTCTTTCTAAATGCAAAGATGGAAATTATCTATGATAGCCTATTGATTTAGGAAAAGAGAGCACTGTAGGATTGTCCTCCCGTTGTTCATCACTTTGCTTGAGCAGGCACCAGTAACGTCTCTATTGTGAGATTTGTTACTGTTTTTGGCATATCGAATATGCCATGAGGAGCTCACCAGGCTCTGCCATGTGGGTGGGATACTCTCTGTAGCTTTCCAGGCTCTCCGAGAGAGATGGAGGAATTGAACCTGGGTCGGCTGCATGCACGGCAAACACCCTACCCGCTGTCCTATCGCTCCAGTCCAATAAAAGAGATAACTTTAAACAGTTGTATTTTAGCTTATTAAGAGTACTTTTATCTGTTCCTTAATAGACACTTCGCTAAAACTCAGACTTTAAAACCATTATATTATTTTCTTGATTTTGGTGGTTTTCAGGTCTTTTGGGTGATTCTCTCATGTGTCCTCAGACACTTATAGTGAGAAGATGGCTAAAGTTGGAGTTTCCAATGGCCTTTTAAAAAGTCATATTATTTTTTTCTGGGGTAGCTAAAAGATTAGGGACTGAAGACTGTTTGCATAACATTCCCACTTGGCCAGCTCAGGCTTTATGCTGGAGGCTGTGATGGTACGTAAAAGGCCATATGCCATTGGAAATAGGCAGTTGCCGCTCAATTTTCCTTGTTTTCTCATGTACCCAGGGTTGCTTCATTTCAGATTTTTAAAGGAAAATTGAAAATTCAAGTTCTTATGTGAAATCTGGTGTTTTTTTTAAGTCTTAGCAACTGATAAACATATACAAAATAATGGGAACCAGAAATAGAGTTCGGGGTGAAGGCACATGCCTTGCAAGGAGCTAGGCACCACATAGTCTCACCCAGAAATAGTGGGTGCATCCTTGGGTGCCCCACACACTGATGGGCACGGCTTTGGAGACCCCCAGCACTGCCAAGATAGCCCAAGTAATGGCTGACACTGCAGGTCTTGAGGAGCACCACATCCTCAGTCCTTGGGTCGAGCCTCCCACTTAATTGGCCTAGAATCATTTAAATCATGCTTGATAGGATAGAGAGACAAAGTCTATGAAGAGAGTTTCACCTGATTTTTTTCCATATTCATGACAGTAATGAATAAAGTAATGAATAGATTACAATAATGAGTAATGTAGGCTGTAGTAATAGTATTTTTATAAAACCTGGTGATCTTTACCCAAGTTGGGCAAATACTCTTCAGCCAACAATAGATTAGCATTGCCATAGCTGTCACTGTCATAACAGCGACTTCTTAGGCCAGATTCCAGGAAATTGGAGAATCAGTCACATGTTCACAAAAACTGGTGATTTTGAGGGGTAGCAAGAGCAGAACCGTCTTTCGTCTTCCAAATATGTAGCAACTTTCTTGTGAAGATCATTTTAAGCACTTTTTTCCATGAGTTTCTTCTCATCCAGATGTAGACATTTTAACACTCCCTGTGTATTAGTTCATTGCCCTTTAAAATGGAATTGAAAGCTTCAAAAAGCTTAGATTGAAAAGACTGAGATGAGCTAGAAGTCTGTTCTCACTCTTACTCTCTACTAGGTGAACTCATTTCCATATGAGCCAGTTCTTGGGAAAACATTCTTTTGTACAACAATATATTTAATGGATATTTTTCTCTTTGGTAACAAATGACATGGTTGAGGCCTTGCTGGTAGAAAAGACATTCTGGATTTGAAGATCAGGAAAAGACATAAATGCTTCCTTCTAGCTTCCTTCTAGTGCATTAGAAGTCTAGTTCTCTACATCACCATTTGTTGAATGTTATTCCTAAGAATAAGAGCTTATTCAAAGTATCTACTTGAAAACTATGAGGAAACTTAACGGATGAATATATTCATAGGTAGTGCTCAGGGTTTATTCCTGTCTTTGTGCTTAAGGACCACTACTGGTGGGACTCAGGGGAGCTCAGGGGACCTTATGGGATTGAACCTGGGTTGGCACATGCAACAAGCACTTATAAATAAATAGATTTTTGTGACCTCCACTGATAATTTAATTGGAATTATTAACTTACTATTTTAATAGTTTCTCTAATGATGATCTATAGAGATAGATTAGTAATACAGGAGTTAAGGTGTGACTCCTGTTTGATCCCTGGTACTTTTCCCCCCATCCTCAAACCCCTAAGTTTGATCCCCGAGACCTTGATCTCTGGATAAGATTCTGGAGACCCCAAGCACTGCATCCTTGAGCTCTTGCATTGAACTGCTGCTGCTCATCATTGACAGCAGTTCTGAGAGCACTTCTTGAGAGTCCCCCTCCCCCCCCTACACCCAAAGTTTCTTTGATGAAAATGTTAAAGGACATGTTCTTCTCTCTCACTTCAAAAGCCTATAGGTGAAATGTACCATTTGGTACTTTTGGAAGTCAGAGTAAATAACAGAAACACTGATAGAGTAGAAATTAATTATCATTTACATATTAATATGACTGAGTAGTTGTCAATTGTCTGGGTGGCCTAAAGCAATTTCTAAGCATGGATCTAAACCCTGGGATTCTAGATCTAAAATAATTTGTATAAATAGAAGTTGTATAAATAGAAGTTGGCTAGTAAATACATCCATGCCCCAACTTAATCATTATATGATAATTATATATATTCAAGTATTTTAATATCACTGGTATGAACATTTTTACAGATAGCTATTGTATTAAGTCTTCTTATAGTAATATGACTTAGATTAATGTATCTATTGATTTTATTTATTTTGAGAACAAGAGAGTGTGATGATTTAATTTGGTGAAGAGCATCTCAAAACTTAAAGGATAGGTACTTCAATATGTAGAAATTTTGCTGCTAGTGATATTATTCTTTTTAACATAGAATCTGAAGAACAGTTTTTTCAGGGGATTTGGTGATGAACCAGATCATTTCATCTCGTTGATTAATTCTTTGAAAAATTTATTGAGTGTTTATTGTGTAGCAGACAGTGCAAATAAGTGACCAAAATGGGCAAGAGTCCACATTCTGAAAGTATTTATGGACTCTAGAGTGTTGCTAAAGTGCTCTTTTTCTAGAGGAAATCATTCAAGCGATACCAGTTGTAGTATGTTAGTAAGAGACACTGACGTGGCAGAGTTCTCTGAATTCTTTTGATTTTCTAAACATTAAATCAAGACTAAGCAGCCAAGTTTTGGCATAGCCTGCAATAATCTTCAATTATATCCCATGCCTTCATAAATGTGACAGTGGGTTATTCTCAAAAGTACATGTAGCTAAAATGAGTCACCTGGGAATAGTGTCCTTGCTTTTAAAGACAGACAGCTCAGAGATGGTTCACATAGGGCCTTTGTTGTCAGGCTACAAATAGACATGGGTGCTGGGTAGAAATATGTTGTGAAAACACAGATGAATCACTTCACTGCTGTTGTTAACAAACTCTTTTGTCAGCTTCTGCTCAAAGACAGGAATTACATTTAAACGCTTAATTCACAGCTCAAATATATAGATATATAAACCTATACAAATATGCATGTGCTTGTGCTGACTCATATATTTTTATATTCACACATGTACTTAATAATAAGGTATATACATATATGCATTATATCTATATATGTACTATGAGATCTTAGGAAATATAAGTTTCTCATGTAACTGTGGGCTGAAGCAATAGCACAGCGGTAAGGCATTTGCCTTGCGTGCAGCCAGCCCAGCTGAGCCAGGTTCGATTCCTCCGCCCCTCTGGAGAGCCTGGCAAGCTACCAAGAGTATCTCGCCCGCACAGCAAAGCCTGGCAAGCTACCTGTGACATATTCAATGTGCCAAACACAGTAACAACAAGTCTCAAAATGAAGACGTTACAGGGCCCGCTTGAGCAAATCGATAAACAACCGGAGGGCAGACAGACAGACATGTAACTGTATTCAAAGTAAAACAACAGAGACTTTAGTAGCTCCAAGTGTATTAAAATTATAATGGCAAAATGAGTGTATAATTAGTTCACCCATTTGGCATATATATTTTGACTATCAGGTGGTCTGAGGCTTTAAAGTGGTTATTTCTAGGTTCCATCTTTAAGTGCTTAACTTGAGTTTATGGGGTTACTAAACAACTTT